AATTTCATGAAAAAATTTCATAAGATTAAACAATGAAATCGACAGATGAAGGTGGTTTGCACGGTTTACACAAATGAGGGCGGTTTTCATATGATCACTCCTCTATATATATATATATATATATATATAGAGAGAGAGAGAGAGAGAGAGAGAAAGAGAGAAAGAGGAGCGATCAAATACAAACCACCCAATTTGTACAAACCGTACAAATCATCCTCATCAGTCGATTTCATTGTTTAATCTTATGAATTTTTTTCATGAAATTGTTTAATCTTGTGAAATTGTTTCATATAATACTTTTTTTGACGAAATTGTTTCATATATAGTTATGAAATTGTTTCATATAATACTTAATGAAATTTTAATGAAACAGTTTCATGTATTTCTCTAAAATTAAAATAATGAATATGATAATATCCATGATCAACACCCTTTACAATAAAAATGATTAATCAACTTCTCATAATTACAAAAAAAATGAACAAAATGAAAAATTATGATTGATCATGGTTTGTACAAATTGGGTAGTTTGCATTTGATCGCTTCTCTCTCTCTCTCTCTCTCTCTCTATATATATATATATATATATATATATATATATTAAAAGTGTATTGGATCATAAATTTATAGAATATTTAAATAATATAATTTACAATAAAATTTCTAAAATAGAGAATATGTTGTAGTTGATTATAATTTATTTTAGAGATTTTAACTTTAATTTTTCTATTTTAGAGAAATTATAGAGAAGCAGTTGGAGATGATCCTCTATTTTAAAAAACAAATAGCAATATGTTGGAGCATTTAAGAGTGCAATTTTTTTTGAAGTTGTTGAAGATGCTCTAATATGACACATTATTTTACAAAAAATCCTAAAAAATTTGTTACAACATCCAAAAACGTCATATAAACTTATTTAATACATTTATATGACGTTTTATTTTTTGGAAGTCACTACTTCCGCAATATCCAGGTCCACAATATTGCAAACCTAGTTAAAAGTCAAAAAAAGCAAAATCAAATTCAACCAGTTTTACCGTTGCAATGCAGACCTGATCGTCATAATTGCGAACCTGGCAATCGTAAATGCATATCTGTGTTGAATTTGAATTTTTTTTTTCAAAAGTAGCGATATTTATGTCAACTCGAGAGAAAATTGATTAAAAAACCAATTAAATATGTAAAATAAGCTAATTTTGAAACAACATATTTTTATTGGAATAATAAAAAGAAAATTGGATAGAAAACAACCTAAAATCGAAAAAAGACAACATAACGTATATAAAGAGATAACAAGTTGACTTGAATGGGAAAAAACTGGCCTCATGTTGCCCCTTCACCTTTGCCTCTTCCAACCCTCCAATCGCCAACACACACACACACACACACACAAACACTTGTCTTCCCTCATTTCATCCTGTCAGCAGCCCTCTGATTCTGCTTAAATTTTGACCCAAAACACACACACACACACACACACACACACACACAACAAACCCTCTTCCATTTCAATCATCCATGGCTGCATTTTCTTCTTCCTATATCTCTAATCTTGTTAAGATCCGCCATGAAAACCACCATGCATTACGACTGCGATTGCCATTGTTACCATTACCCTCTACAAGAAGAAGAAGGACAACAGTTTCTGAAACCCATTATTCAACTGTAAGTATTAGAGCAGCTGCTGGAAACTTAGCATCCAATTGGGACACTTGGAAACCTGATCAGGGTTCCAAGGCTCCATCACTAAGTGACATCCTTTGGCCATCTGCAGGTTGGTTGGTTCCACCAGCTTTTGAGGCCATGGTTCTATTTGGTTCAACCAAGTTTTGTAGCCATGGTTCTATTTGTGGTAATTAATTGGTTCAAATTGGGTCTAATATATGTAAATGGAAACAGGTGCATTTGCGGCCATGGCTGTGTTGGGAAAGATGGACCAGATGTTGGCTCGAAAGGGAGTTTCAATGACCATTGCACCACTCGGAGCGGTTTGTGCCGTCCTTTTTGCAACTCCGGCAACCCCCGGTGCTCGGGTAAACATTCTCTTTTACTTTTCTTTATGATAATCATTACAATAAGACGGGGTTTACAGGACGTATAAAATGTCTAAATGTCTTAATCGGCTACTGTATAAAGCAAAAGAATTGTGTCTTCTATACAAAAGCGTTAGCACTGAGTTTATAAGACGTTCTAACAAGTTTTTTTTTTTCAAGGAAATGTGTTGTATTAGCTTTTTTACATGACGTCATTGAGAAGTGTATACAAACACATCTTCATGTAGGATATTTGGTTTTATTAACACATTTTCAAATAACACCATATAAAAAAAAATTAATATGACGTTTTATTTCAAAACTGTCCTAAAAACCTTAGTTAAAAAACCTAAAAAAATGTTTTATAAACTTATTAAAACAAGAAATATAAAACAAACTAGAAACTGATATATTTAGGACTTTCTATAAATCCCCTATTATTAGAGTGAATTGGTTGAGCACTTGTCTATCTTTTTAGTTGGCCAATTAATGGCATCAAATCCACCTCCTTTACATTTAAAGCAACTAAATCTTTTGGGTGTTGGAAATTAAAGAAATATAAATTGATTTTTTTCAAGTAAATCGCTTATTGGGTATTAATTTGTTGTGGGATATTCTCACTAAAATAATGAAAATAATATATATATATATATAATGCCAAGAAACCCTTAAGATTCACGTGGATATTTGTGCTATATATAATTATATATATATATATATATATATATATATTTGTGTATTAAACAGTAAAAAGAGGAATATCCTTTTGGACCACGAAGCATATCGAATTTTATATCAATGTTATTTGTTTTTTATGAATTTTTTTTTGCTATGTTTATTTATAGTCAATTTAAAAATGTTGTAGGGCAATTATCAAGAAACATTTCAAGATTTTTATAAAATTTGATCTGGACTAGGAAATCGTTTCTTAACCTTTAGACATGTAACTTAGTTAATAAAGGGTTGAGTAGACTTTACTTAAACACAAGACAGGATTCAGGTTCAATCCTAAATCCTTACTAGCCTTAACTATTGAGTGAGCAAAAAAAATTCAATTTAACATTGATGTCTTTAAAGGCGGGTTTGGTGTAATGACGGTTGAAGTTGCATGTAATCAATTTTTTGACCAGATATATAACACAAATATCAATTTTGTTTTTTTTAATTTAAACTAATTAACCTAACTATATATATACATATATATATATAGAGGAGTGATCATATGAAAACCTCCTTCATTTGTGTAAACCGTGCAAACCACCTTCATCTGTCGATTTCATTGTTTAATCATATGAAATTTTTTCATGAAATTGTTTAATCTTGTGAAATTGTTTCATATAATACTTTTTTTGATGAAGTTGTTTAATATATGTTATGAAATTGTTTCATATGTATTTCTCTAACATTAATGAAACTGTTTCATGTATTTCTCTAAAATTAAAATAATGAAGATGATAATATCTATGATTAACACCCTCCACAATAAAAATGATTAATCAACCTCTCATAATTACAAAAAAATGAACAAAATGAAAAATTATGATTGATTGAATGCGGTTTGCACGGTTTGTACAAATTGAGTGGTTTGCATTTGATCGCTCACCTATATATATATATATATATATATATATATATATGGGGGTAGCTTTAAGTGTTTTTGACTTGAAAAAATGGTCGAGAAATTAAAAGATAAAATATGGAAAAGAAAAAAAAACTATTGACAAAAATAGATAAAAAGCTATTTTTATAATAATATGACCCATAATAACAACAAATTCAATTCTTTATAAAAAAAACTCTAATTATTTTGTCACATCTATACTATATTATAAAGAATTTAACAAAAATTGTTAAAAACCATTATTTATGCATGAATTACTGTATTTAATGTATATTACTTAAATTTAATATTACAAGTAAATTATGTGTAAGTGCAACTTATTAAAACTCTATTTTTGAATTCGTATAACAAAGTGTAGATAAAAATAATCAAATACAAGATAAATATCTTATTTTAAATATAAAAAATCTAAAATATAATTTGGATAATCATTGAGTTCTAACAGAATTATTATATTTATAAAAAATTATTGTTAAGCCAAAAATAAATTACTTTACCTAAATTAAATTATAATAAAACATTGAATTAAAGAAATTGTACAAACAATGAGAATTTTTAAATAGTTAATTTGATATTAATATCGATATATTATTATAATTTTTTATGATGTCTTCAAATTTATTTTCATTCAAAAATAAAAACATTATATTTCTTAAAACCACATAAACCGTATTATATCAACATAGACAAAAAATAAAATAAAACATTAAAATGAAGATATATTTCACTGCATTGCATGAGTATTCTTCTAGTAAATTAAAAATATATAAATTAAATAAAACCCAATGAAAATATTGGTTTATATTATATAATAATAAGTAAGTTCTTTTAGGATATATATATGTGGTGTGGCATGTCCCCTAAAATTATACAAAGAAATGGTGAATGGCAACAGGAAACCATGCATTTTAATCATCTTGTCGGACTCATGATTCATATTAATAAGATTATTTATATTCAACAATCTTTAAATTTAGATCTAAGATACATTTAGGTTGTTATTAATATTCGTTACGTTCTATAATATATATATATGATGTACGCAATTTTGATTTTAAGCCCGTTAGATCGGTCGGTCATTGAATACTCAAAGCACTACAATATGTTTTGACACTCAATTGATCAAATAGATTGTTTAATGGAACTTTTAAGTTTATATGACCGATAATTATACATTTTATATAAATATGTTGTAACAATCCTTTTGAAACAATTAAGTCGTTAGGAAAAAAAATGAAATCTTAATAGGATTCAAGAACTAAATCATCATATTAGAACTTTGTATGACATTTCATAAAACACTTTTCAAAAACGATTTTCTTTTTAGTTTTGTTAGATCGTCTAACAACTTACTATAACGTATTCGTGTAGACACACAGTTGTTGGTCTTATAAAGTTAAAACTCTCACTAGGTACTTTAATAGAACGGTTGTGGGTCCTAATGAACCCATTTTGTTGCAATGTATATTGGTTTTTATGTATGGAATTGCTGATTGCATAAGAATTGAACCAAAATTGAACATACTTCATTTCAGTTCCTTGAACTTATTTACAAAAACATCGTTTTGGGAAATGTTTAGTATCTTTTGTACAATTAAAATAGCATATTATGTCTTTGTTGCAATTAAGAGACAACTTCTGAATTAAGCCAAACATGTGATACAGTTATAATAAAAATATTTCTTGAAAAAAAAAATAATTAAACATTTTTATTTGGAATGTCTTAATCGGGCTTTTAAAAATTATGTTATCTAAAATAAGAATCAAAACACACTTTTGATGTAATTTACACACGTTAGTAGCTAGCTCTATCTTTGAACATATCCAGTTTCTATATTTATAATGTTTTTTTTTTTATTTTGTTGAAAAATAAATAGAAAAAAAAAGAGAAAAAACTCAAACAAATTTTCGTTTGTGAATGCAAAATTGCAGAAGTACAATATGTTTATGGCTCAAATGGGTTGTGCAGCAATTGGTGTATTAGCCTTCTCATTCTTTGGACCGGGTTGGCTCGCTCGGAGCACTGCCCTCTCCGTATCGCTAGCCTTCATGATCTATGCTCGTGCCGTGCATCCACCAGGTGCGTATATCGTAAATGGATATTTTCGTCATTTCACTAGAAAGGGTATTTTCATCGTTTCACTAACCGTTTGCCTCCGATACACAGCTGCAAGCCTGCCGTTGTTGTTTATCGATGGTGCAAAGTTTCACCACTTGAAGTTTTGGTACGTTTTGTTTCCTGGTGCGGCCGGATGCCTTCTTCTATGTTTGATCGTAAGTTTTTTCCGCTACATTTGCAAGAGGCTTGTTTTCTTTCTGCTCCATCTATCTCGATATGCATGTCCATACTCCTATTTGAATTCGTCCCTAAATAAGTGTTCATTTTTAAAAGTTTACGCTCTATTATTAAGGATTAAATTGTCATTTAGTTAATTAAAATGTAATAAAAAACCAAAGATCATGTTTTTGTCCTCGAACAACACGACTTATCACTCCCCGGTTGAAGTTTTGGTTTCGGACGATTTTTTTGCAGCAAGAAGTGGTGTGTTACTTGAAAGAGAATGTGAAGTTCTAAGCAGAGCTTATGGAAATTGCAATTTTGGGGGAATTGGGTTATGTTGAATATGGGGAAAGAAGGATGTGCAATTCAAGCATGCATGTATTAGTTCTCAAGGACTCTTTTGGAGGGTTATTTTGGTATATTACCTGATGAAAATTTGTACATTATTTATGAATTTGTCGTTTTCGGCTCGGGTAAATTGGCTCAACAAATTTTGAATTGGGAAAGGTCTTGAATCGATGTTTTTTGCTTTCATCCAAATTCCGAATAGCAGTTTTAAGCATGTTTGCATTATAAAATCGGGGATTCATAATAATACATGCCATTTATAGACCGGAACATCTCGATTTCCACCAATTGGTAGATTGTCAAAAACATTACCTATCCGAGATCACAACCTTGAAATCATGAGAGTTTACCTCGATTTAATGTGTAATACGTACCATAAAACTAATCGTTGTTTATCTTTGTTCTTGAACTCTAAACTTCTGTCTCGTCACGGAATATTATAGAGATCTTCCTTGCAATATGATACTTGTTAGTGTTTTCCTGCAAACAAGGGCATATTGTTTCGTATACGAATTACAACACATCGATATGTGATGAACTTGACATTTCATGAAAAATGATTCATATAACACCAAATGAGATCTTGATGTCTAAGGTAAATAGCCTCATTAAAGAGCTTATTACCAAACATTTACTGGATAAGCACTTACCTGATGTTACTTACTTTACTGGGTGAACATGACAACGACCGAGAATCTTACTTGGTAAGAAGTAAAAGGATTGAGAATCTTAGGCAGCAAGTGAGGAGGACACTTACCAAATAGCGCTTACTGGATAAGAGACGCTTACCGATAATCCATTTTTATGAATGAGAATGCTACTCGATAAGATAAGTGAGAACAATGGCCAGATTTTGTGGCATCAGCATTGCATCCCCAAGATACATCTTGTGATCTTTTTGGCCAGTTTTTTCTTTATGACACACTAGCCTTAACTAGTTGTGTATATGTTGAAATTGTCATCGTGATTCAAAAGTATTAGGGGTGTTCCCAGGTACGATTTTAACCAAAATCGCAAACCAAACTGCATGTGCAGTTTGATCATTCTTCAAAATCACAAACCAAATTGCAAATATCACATCATAAAATACGATTTATACGGTTTGTATTTAAATAACTAACTGACTAGTTTATAAAGAGAAAACACTTAATTTGATTCAATTATTATTAACGGTTTACACAGTTTGGACCTAATTTTCTAAGTAAAAAATGAAAAAAAAAATAACAAACTCATTTATATTATTTTAATTGAAATAACTAATAAATTTACAATTTATAATATTCAAAAAATCTTTAAGACTAATGCTTATAAAAGTTTGCAAACTTGGGTGGTATTTAGGATTATATGTTGTAGTTATTTGCTTATTAAAGTAATAATGTTTTAGTTAGTCATAATAATTATAAACTAATAACAATATAAGAAATAAGTAATAGGAATTAATATGATCTGTGAGGGATCAGCGAGGGAATGAGTTTTTTGCCGGTCCTTTGTTGATCCCTCGCTGATCTGCAAGAGATTTTTTTCCCTCTCTGATTTTCGTCGCTGATACCTTGTTTTCCAGTAGTGCATATTAAATGGTGGCTTGAGTAGTTCAAGCCCGCAAACCAAACCTCATAGTACAGTATAAGAAAATACAAACCGTAAAACGTACTCTAGAAGTTCTAAACCATGTTGTTTAGTACGACTTGTGCATTATGCAGTACTTTTAACAGTCCTACATAAAGATAAAACTGACAAAGGATAACACCTCAGTAGGCTAATCAACAGCCATGTCACCTATACAATCTACCATAACAACCTAGGTAATGCAATTGAGGAATCCCGCAAAAGACCTTGTACTTGTACGACGTGGTCCAAAAGGGAATATTTCAAAAGAAGAATTGTTTTTCTCCTCTCTCCATTCTCTTCTTTTCACGAAGTCGGCAAAAAGTCAGCGCAAATTATATTTGATGATGACTTAATCCTTTATATCCTAGGAAGGGTTGGTTCACAGCTACGATTCAATAGTTGTAAACCTTAAACGTTGACATGGTCACGTAACTTTGCAACAGGTGCAATACGTGCATGTTGCAAAGCGAGGATATACGTATTGAACAATTAAACTCCAGCATTAATTTCTCGAGTCAAAGTGAAAACATCTACTAAATGTTTCCACAACTATGACATAACCTTTGAAGCCTCTCATCAGTCTGCATATCCGAACACTCAAACCTTCGTGAATGATTAGGCTCTCCTCTTCTCAAGCGACGACCTAACCTGGTACGTTGACAGTATGATGTCACAAATCTCCAACAAACATGAAAAATGACAACTAACTCTAAGTTCATCATTGGTATGGCCAAGCATTTTTGATTTCTCATGTTGGAACTTGCAAACACCTCTTTTCTTTACTCACTAAATCCAACTTTGTGTTTATTGAGTTCTATGCTAATAATTATGTTATGTACGTAGGATTCAAACTCAAAGAAGGAAGTGTCTCAGGTAAAAGAGGTGTTCGCAGTCCGGTTAACCCCTCAGACCACAAACCAAACCATAATGACGGTTCATCAAATTTTCAAACGGAGCGGTATGGCATCGACTGCCCAGACCGGTCAAACCAGACCACAAAAAAGTGGTCTGGTTTGACCGGTTTAAGCGGTTTGGGTCTTTAATGGACTTGAACAGGTTGAGTCTGGAATCGAAAAACTTGAAGGAAAGAGTTGAATTAATCACTTGGTTGATGTCTTGATGATGTGCGTCGAAATCAAACCATGGATTAGAAAAGATTGATGGATTGATAGAGTTCTCGAGGGGTTTCAAAATTTGTAGACCATCAATTGTGTCGATATGTTTACCGGTTTAGAGATTTTTAGGCGCCGATTCATTTGGATTTGATTATGTTAGATATTAAGCTTTATATTGGGCTTAGGGGTATATTTGGGCCATAGCCAATAAGTTAAAAAAGTTGGGCTTGCTAATATTAAATAATATATATATATATATATATATATATGTATGTATATATATATATATATATGTATATGTGTGTGTATTTGGCGGTTGCTTTGGTCCAAACCGCCCAAAAAAGGTTCGAGACCGCTGACCGGACCGGACCGCCCGGTTTTGCTATTTTCCAAATCATACCAAACCGCCAGACCGTTCAAACCGCAACAAACGGTCCAATTTGACTTGATTCGGCCAGTTTGAACGATCCAAAGGTTTTTTTGAACACCCCTACTCAATCTCCCTATTCCAGCATTAATTTTGCTCAAGTCAAGTGTTTCACACAACTACTTCAATACCTCTCAGTCTAATACCTTTTTATTTAAATCCTCTTGTTACTCATCAAAAAAGTAATGCTGACATCTGGAACTTGCGCCTTGATCCTCTCAGTTCATTCATTTTAAAAGCTATGTTACCAAATGTCAAACTAAAGTCTCTATCTTCTTCATTGTTTTTGTTTGTGATGCATGGCATATTGGAAAGTCCAGATGCTTGACATACCCTCCATCAGAAAAGCACACCTCCAAACCCCTTGAATTAATACACACTATACAGACGACTTTAGGATCTTTCCTCTTAGACTTAACTCTGATGTCAAATGAACTTTTCTACACTTTCAAGCTTCAATTGAACGGTTGTTTGATCGACACAAATATAAAGACCTTCAGTTTGATTGGGGCGGCGAGTACACAACTCTCACACCTCTTCTACAGTCCATAGGCATGCATTTCAGGCATCCATTCCCTACACATTGCCATAGAGTGGAAATGGGTTTAGATCTTTTAACCCAAGTATCCGTTTCTTTAAAATTTTGGTGGGAAGCCTTTTTCCGTCTAGCTTTCTGATCAATCACTTTCTACCCCTACTTTGAAAACAAATCACCAATACAAGTTTTATTCACTCATACCAAACCTAAGCTTTATAAAGGTCTTTGGGTGTGTAAGTTTTCCTCGCATTCAGGATTACTTAACACACAAACTTGATTTTTTGATCCACAAAATGTGTATTCTTTATATACAGTTCTCATCATAAATTAAAGGCTATAAATGCCTACATCTACCAAGAAGAATTTATACTTTCAGTGAGCTTGGATTCTCGTTCTCTCTTAGCTTATCATCTGATACTGATGTCCCTTCTGAACCTCTCAGTTCCTCTTTAAACATTCACATTACTAGCTGCTATAAATCACATACAACATAAATTTTTCATTCAAATAATAATTTTGTTTCCACTCCTTCAAACCAACCATCATTGTTGACACCAAGTACATTCTCAGCCTCTCTCTCCTATTTCTACAAGCAACAAATCTATCTCACATTTGTCTTATGATTCATCACACTTCACTGGTCCTATGTAAGACATGCCTCGCAAAATCACACATTGCCTAACTCCATCATCAAATGCTAATAACATTAGTGATCCATGTCATCTGATAATCACTCGGTCCAAGGATGGTATCTACAAGCCAGAGATATATCTTGTTGCTTCCTATCTATCATCATCAAATTCAGACCTTTATGTTCCATGTTTTGATCAAAATGCTCTCTTGAAACCCTCATGGGAAACAACCATAAATGAAGAATATTCAGCCTTAACCAACAGTAAAACCTCCTTCCTCGGTTAACTGGTATGCATATCATCGACAATAAATGGATCTTTCAAAACAAATTCAATCATGATGGCACTCTCAATAAACTCAAGGCTAGACTTCTGGCCAAAGGGTTTCAGAAATACCAAAACACTGACTACTTCGAAACTTAGAGTACCGTTGTTAAATCCTTAATCATCTGTATCATATTATCTTTTACTCACTTTTGGATGGGACATCTAATAAAAAATATACGTAATGCATTCGTAAATGGATCATCACCAGAAGAGGTATTCATGTCTCAACCTCCAGGTTATGAAAAGATCTAAAGAACCCTACAACGGTGGGTGTAATACCTGTGATTTCAAGGCTTTCGTTTTGATTATTCACAATATCAAAGTGCGTTTTAGATGATAAATTATAAGGGTTTTATATAATTATCCCATTAGGATGTTTGGAAATCAAATCGAACAAGAAAAATGATAAAATGCATGAAAATAGTGGCTTACACAACTTGGCGCATGACCTGGGTCGCAGCGCAAGTTGCGCATATCATTGAGTGTGTGAGAGGGATATGGCCAATGCAGGCGACCTTCCGGATGACCTGCGGTCACG